CCCCTTCCGAAGTGCGGAGCCTCCTCCCCCCACACATACACTTTGCTTCAGCCTGCGGTGGCTGTGGGCCCCGCTGCCTGGAGGCCCCAGCGCAGAAAGCCCATCAGGGAAGGGACTGGCCCCAGCTCTGTCAGGAGGACAAGGGCAACTGAGTCTCACTGGTCCCCGGGGGGCGGGGGAGCTCAGCGCCTCTCAGGATCAGGCCCACATGATAGTGATTCGTTTGGGGGTCCTGACACAAGAGTCCCTCTGACTCCAAAGGGGCTGGGGTCTTCACAAGCAGAAATAAAAAAGAGCAGAAAGTAACAGGGAGGAAGCAGACAGTAAAGACCTAGAGAAAGTCTCCTTCTTGTTTGGGAATGGGGAGGAAACTCTGGTGTTTAGCCTGGAACCATTTCTCACCCCACCCCATCCTCCAAAAAGTATCCACCACATGAATGCAAACACCGCAGCTGAGGATAAATTTGGGGGCCGAGGTGCAGCTTTTATACAGAAAAAGGAGACTCATGAAAGGATCGGACCTCCACTCCCCTTCCCTTCCCCACCCGTCTTCTTGGGTGTTGTTATGGTCTGTGGACTTCCCTTATATGTATTTAGCCTGCGTGGGCATCATAGTAGCTTTTAATACTTAATAGATCCCCAAATGGACAGTAATAGATCCTGATTTGTAGTAGTTTGCATGTGTCTCTGGCTTCCTCCAGTCCATGTTATTTCCATATTCAGAATGCTATCAGAGCCGCACATACACAAGCAGCATACCCCGCCTCCAATAAAATATGGCCCGTAAGAAAGGGAGTACATTATACAAATGAACCAATGTGTTTTACAGGCCAATAATTTACATGCCTGTGTCAAAGATACCCAGAATCCAATCCTTCACATACAGCCCGGCCTGTGAGGCATGAGAGGAATTCTGATGCCGCTCTACTCCTGAGCATTAAGAGATTAGTCACAAACCGTGGGGCCCATTTCACACTAGGCATGGATCACAACTGTGTGTGCGTGTGTGGGGTTTTTTTTGTTTTTTGGAGTGGGGATGTTCCGTGAAGTGGGATTATTAGGAAGAAAATTACACAGGCAAGGGGTAGTAACAAACAGAGAGACTGATTTTAATCGTTGTCTGGAGGAGAGGGTGAGTCCTGTATACAGGTCTTGTAAGATGTTCTGAATCGCAATTCAATCAAAAGGTTGCGAGGGGGGAGGAAAGGGAGAACGGTAGGGAAGATTTTCAGACTATTGTATCATGGTGGTAAAATTGCTGTGTGAAAAAGAGCGGCAGATCCAAATGTGGCTGACGGGGTGATCCAAAGGAGTTGACAGGGCAATGGGCAATTTGGGGCAAGTGGAAATCACAAGAATGCAGAGTGACCCTGTATCAAAATAGCACTCAAGGAGCCGCGAAGCTCAGTTGCTTAAGAGGTGCGCAGCATAGTCCCCCAGTTACCCAGGGTGTGACGGGCGCTACCCCGTGCTGTACAGGTGTACAACTGAGCTGCAGAAGTGCCATTTCTCAAATCGACATAGAGTGTTGCCACACAGCTGCTCAGAAACAAACCCCGGGCACTGGATCGCTCCCCGTACATCACAAACCCCTGAACCCAGGAGGATCCACACAGATTGGATCTCACTGCCTGGTGACTTCCCATAGCTACATACACTCCCATTAATGGGATGGACAAAAATGAATTAGCTTGGGGGGGGAGGCTTTGGGGGTTTGGATTTTTATACTGACACTTTCCGTCAGTCTCTCTCCCACCGCAACTATAGTGTTCCCAATAGTCTGCCTACACCGGGAGCGACACGTCTGGTTACTAGATGGCGTTTAGACTGCATCGTGCCCGGGAAAGAGAGAGACAGAAATCAGCCTATAACAATTGTACAGAAAATAGTTTATTTGCCCGGTTCCCTGTTCTGGAGGAAGTGTCCGGAGATTTCCTCTCTCAGGAGGCAGTCTGAATTTCCTGACACAGGCCGTTGCCCCTATTCGGAGTATTAAATAAAGAGAGGAGTGAAAGCTAGTGACACGGACAAGATCTAGTCTGTCATGTAGACCAGCTCCCTGGCAGCGCAGAACTCTCCCCCGCTGGACACGTGTTAGTGTTGTTTTAAATAAGCGATGACACTTCCCTGAAGAGGTCATTCTGAAGCAGCCTATAGGGAGAATATGATGTACGATAATATGAATACAACAATGATGTATTTTTTAAATGCTTCATACCCGCGTGTGCAGACATTAAATGGTTTGGGGACGATCTTCTAAACCTCCTGGCCTTCCTACGATCTCTGGGAACAGGCGCTTCCGGATCTTAAAAAACCCTAACAGGTGAAGTAAATATTTAATAAATACCTGTCCCCTGGAAACAGGGCAATTTCACAACCCCGAGCTGCAATTATATGGAAATTAAGGCCTGTGCAGGTACAAAGTCAGACACATTATCACCAGCTCTTGCAAAAGCGTTTGAAGGGAGAATGTATTTACTTTGTGACTTTTTCTTGTAACAGGCTGACCTTCTGTTCACATACCCATTTGCGGTATGCCTCTTTTCTCTCCAATCCCCTCCTAGAGCTTCAGGAAATTCTTACTTTGCAAAAGACTTGCAAATCTGCCTCCCTCTCGTTTTTCCCTTTATATTTCGGTGTGTTTGTCTAAGATAAGTAGGTCTAATAACACTATTGACAAAACTAAATTTTGGTGTCAGGCTTGACTTCCTGACTTACAGATGTTTATTCTTTCCAACTCGTTAAAAATCTGTTGGCAGCGCATTTATTGTAAATATTTGAAGTGTCCAGGAATGATAGAAAAATGGAGTTTAATACACTGCATACCCACAGCTTGGACTTTCGATATAGACAAACATGAGATGGGGTTTTAAGGTGGAGAGTTGAATCCCCATTGCTGAGTATTGACAGAGCTGCAGTAACAAACGCTTTGATTTTTGGTCTATCTGAAACAATATTTTGCATTCCCTTTAAAAAAAAGTATAACGGGTCTCATCCTACATTCCCTCCTCTCCCTTCCCCCACACACACCCTTTGTAAGATTTTACATGATCTTTTATTGCAAGGCAAAGAACCAAATAAAATATAGAGTGGCAGGAAAATGCTGTGGTCTATGCAGGCATGGCGAATATATATAATATTGTTGCCTTCTCATTGGCACATTGTGTAACCTCTGATTTCTCACTTAACAATAGAAAGCCGTTATAAAATACTGTGCTTGTATTTAATCAGCAGCAGGCGCTTTCTCGAGCTCGGAAAGTAGGTATCATTTGCTATTAATTCTGCAAATGTGATCACCAAAGCTATGCTTTTTAACAAGGCTAAGCAAAATCCTTGCCTGTTGTTATCACTGGCTAGTAGTGTAGGAATTATACCTATACACTGTGTTAGGCATACCGAAATTGGAGGAGGGCAGTGTTTTCAAGTTCTTGGCGGAGCTAAAGTCTTGTTGCATAACTGAAGATAAAAATGCACTCTTCATCGGTGAGCCGATGTTACGGGTAGAGCATCTGCATGAAAAACCTGGGACTAGGAGCGAATGCCCGCCTGTTATTTTGCTGTTGATGTTTAAAGACTTGAACTAAATTTCACCCAGGTTTTATTTGTGGTTACTAAGTGAATAGGTTATATTAGACACTGAATGTAGGTATGGGTATCATCACTCTGGAAAGACATATCAGATAAATCCATATCCAGCTAAAGATGGATATTATCCAATATCAACGAGAAGTCTCGCGGCACCTAAGACTAACCGATTTATTTGGGCATAAACTTTCGTGGGTAAAAATCAGTTCATACAATAAATGCCCAAATAAATCGGATAGTATTAGGTGCCACGGGACTCTTCGTTGTTTTTCCAGAGACAGACTCGTCTAACCCTTCGAGACTTATTGTCCAATATATTTTTCTAGATGTGTTTATGTGTAAACTATGGATACTATATGTCTGTGAACATATTTAATTCCCCCCCCCTTTAATTACAACAAAATAAATAAACGCGGGGGTGGGGGATAGATTCCTTAAATCGCCCAAATTGAGACCTCACTTAAATCTTACACTTGTTACACCATTTACGCGTACACCGCGCACAGATGAAGTTACCAGTTCTGCATCACTTTAACTGCAGAAAGGGCTAACTAGGCAACAGTAAAGACCCTTCCAGCTGAAATTTCTGGGCGACACCGCTGCTACCTGGCCCCTCATACACACACATCCACGCGCATTTGCTGTGGCACAAGTCCCTTCATGCCAGGGCGTGACTGTGGAACCGCCAACACAGCACTACTGATGATGTTCAGGCGCAATACCTTAGCGATGCGATAATTGCGCGCGTCTCCCGGCTGAGTTTATCTTCAATCTTTAAAATTCTGGCCCCATCGAGGCATTTATTTTTGTTTGTCTGTTGGGGGCGGGTGGGGCCGGTAAATACAGACGCTTCTCAAGCCACTTTCCTTCCTCTTTGCTAATCAGCGGCATGACCTGCGCCCCCCGCGCTTTTGCAAGAGACCAAGCAAAGCCTTTCCCTTCAACCTGCTCTAGAGGGCAAAGACATGAAGTGGGCAGGCCCCATTCCCGCAGCCTTGACAGGTGTGCTGCCGGGCCAATAGGGCGGGTGGGGCCGGTAAATACAGACGCTTCTCAAGCCACTTTCCTTCCTCTTTGCTAATCAGCGGCATGACCTGCGCCCCCCGCGCTTTTGCAAGAGACCAAGCAAAGCCTTTCCCTTCAACCTGCTCTAGAGGGCAAAGACATGAAGTGGGCAGGCCCCATTCCCGCAGCCTTGACAGGTGTGCTGCCGGGCCAATAGCGTCTGCCCAACTGTAGAGCCGGCCACCAATAGCGCTCCCT